AACAAGGGAGAGGAGATCCCAAAGGAGAAGAAGGTTGTTGAGTCAAAATTTGCAGAATCTGGGAGTCGTGTTGAGAAGACATATAGTCCGGGCGACTACATTTCATCAATAGGCTAGGATGGGCCAGATGTGGAATTGGCAACAGGAGGAGAACTGTGTGTGATCCAAGGGGATAGTCTGGGACAGGGAACAGATGATTTAAAGGCTGTGGAAGAAGACCTTGCCAATCTCCAGTTTTACAGTGACCAAGATCCAGGGGGCGCAGCAGTCAACTGGTTTGACTATGAGGAATCAGCAGAGGCCACTGGTGGTTAGATGATCAACCAGATGTAGTGGAAGAGTTCCAACCAGGACAAAGTCCGACAGGGGCACGAATGTTGGCGATAGTCGAAAGAGTCAGAGAACAGAATACATCGCCGGAGAGCGCCGATGTTAAGAATTCCGCTAGAAATTGGAGCATTCTGAATACAGGAATTATTGAGCAGCCGGCTGTGTTGATACGGTCGAAACAAGAAGGATTTGAAGATCCCGCGAGAATCAGAAAGGCAAAGGCCCATGTAAGGGCTAAAATTGCTGTGTGCGCAGGAACAGAGAATGCTGCGAGCATAGGGGTGGAAGATACCGTGAGTGCGAGAACAATCATGCCAGAACCAGACAGGTGTTTGTCGGCTGCTGATGGAATGTGGTGGGAAGATGAGGATTTATGTCTTGCCTATACAGACGAAGATTGGGGGAACAACCAACCCGATGACACCTGGTACCTTGGAGAAGTCGACCACATGACAAGAAGCGGACGGTATTTCAAGCCTCCGCATCTAGACCAGCCGGAGACATCTGGGAAAGATAAGGAAGCTGAGAGACAGAAGGAGAAGCAAGCCGAAGAAGAGGCTGTACTAAAGCAGTTAAAAAAGATACAGGCAGACATCTCCATCTGGGGACTACTTATGGCATCACGAGTGCACAGACAGGCTGTCCTATCAGCCATGGACAAGGCAAAGCTTTCGATAGAAACCACGCCAGAACAGTTAGTAGGCTTAGTTTTTCCGGGAGGAGCTACCCCGATGTTGACCTTTTCTGACAAAGAACTGCCACCTGAGGGTGCGAACCACAACAAGCCACTCTACATCTCCGTGGAGTGCAGAAACAAGTGGATACCCGTGGTACTTGTCGACACAGGCTCTGTCATCAATGTATGTCCAGCAAGGACTGCCTATGCAATTGGCTTGAAGACAGCGGACTTCGTACCAACAGCCCAGGTGATTCGGGCATACGACAATACAAGCCGAGAAGTCATGGGAACAGTGAAGATCCAGACCAAGGTTGGGCCAGGGTAGCATGAAATTGACTTTCACATCTTAGAGGTTCCCGCCACTTTCAATCTACTCTTGGGGCGGTCGTGGCTGCATCAAGTCAGGGCAGTCTCTTCTACCTTGCATCAAATGGTGAAATACCCCTATGGAAAGGGAGTAGCCATTGTTTTTGGGAATTTATCGATCCATCCACCACCGGAAGTATCTACGCCAGTTTTCGAAATTGAGCACGGCATGGAGGACGTGTTTATGTCAGGTTTCACCCTTGCTGAGGCTCGGGTTATACAGGACATCATGGCCGCTAATGAGGGGGTATATGTCAGTGCTTAAGCGGTATACTTCATGAACAAACTTCAACATATCCCCGGGATGGGATTGGGAAAGAGCGGCTGGAAGGGCGTCGCAGCATTGGCCGAGGTGCCACATAACCCACATACCTTTGGCTTGGGTTATTTGCCCACCAAAGAGGATTGGATAAGGAAGGGTAAAGAGATGGCTGGGAGAGCCAGAGTGAAGAAGGCGGGGAAGCCTTTTGACTTAATGCACTGACCCATTCAGGGTACCCTAAACGGACGCTTCGTTCGGGAGGGGGAGGACTTTCCGTTTTGTGGCTTCCCAGAGCCGTGGTTGAACACGGAAAGGAAGCGCGTGCCGGGGTTTGAGATTTTCTTTGACCTGCAGTTACCTGGGGATAACATTGCTGAAGAGCAGACAGACCCATTAGCTGAGACTGAACAGAGTAAGGAAGTGCAGTCTGAGGACGCTAAAAATGAAATGGGGGTAGCGCTGGCATGTCTGCTTTCAGATCCTCTGATCGAACAGAAGTGCTTGGGGGATAACTTCTCGGTATGTATGATCGGGAATGAAACGGCTGTGGGCCTACCATCAACTATTTTGGATGCATCCATCGCACTCTCTCTCATTTGGCAATATGAGGAGGGATTTTTGTCAAGCAGAACCGGGTCAGGTAGTGAGCCGGAATCTGATTCCACCGAGTCTTGTGAGTCGGAATCAGGTTCCAGCTCAACTGAGTCTGAGTCCGGTATTCCACG